AGGGGTAATGGACTCACCTTGGGAGATATTCATCAGTCTAATATTTTAATCTGTAGGAACATAAATAATCGGAATACCTTTATACCACAGAGGGGACATTTACATTGTTACAGCAGAAAAAAAGCCAAAAACAGATTAATGTTAAAAAGGAGTATTCATATTTCCTAATGAGAATTCAGGATTGCAATGCCACGGCAGTGCAGAGTAACACTACATGTGACCGGCATGAGTGTTCCTATCAATACCAGTAGATAGAGAAACTTGCAACACACTTTATGAATGAACTGTCTCCTCAGCTGACTTCAAATATTTACAACCCTTGATAAAGCGGGGTGAGAGATAACTGTGGTAAATGTTCGGCTAGATAAATACTCTACTAGTCAGATCTGCTGAGGGTGGTATTTCTAAACGGGCACGGCCTTATTACCCACAATGTCGGATGAAGGAGAAGCCCGTCAGCGAGACATTTAACCTGCGACATGTTACAGCACACATGCGGAAGTGTCAATGTACACTCCTACGTAGTACGTAGCTAATCTCTACTCAGCCTGAGATACTGGAGCCTGACAGCAGGGGGCGTCCGAGGCAAATACGTGTGAGTCCCTGCCAACATTCCCCTGTAGAGTGTGACACTTCACTTAAAAACAAAATGAGTACTGCTCTCTTTATAAATGATGGTTTAGAGATGACGCATAGAGTTGCATCATAAATTACACGGCACTGCATTATAACTTTCAAAAATAAGCCAATACAGTCTGTTAAAACTAGCTTATTAGGCTCTTAAGGAATTAATGTTGTACCTGTACTTATTTATGTGACAAACTCAAAGTTGTCATTAATGATCCTGTACAAAAATTGATATTCCATTCAAAGAAATATGTATAAACAAATGTCTTTTTTTTTTAATTAGGCTGAAACTGTATTTTTCGGTTATGTTAACTTAATGTGGATTTAGCCATGAATTATAACCGTTGAAAGCTATGAATAATGAAATGCTTCAGGGTAAACTAAACAACCACTGAGAAAAAAAACATATTTTCTGCAAGACAAGCTCATTTTGAATTCATAAACATTTATAATTTAGTGCACCAAATAAATCTTTTAAACCATTATTTCAAGCAAACCAGAATGAAGATTTAAGATACAATACATCTTATTTACCCCCCTTACCTCCAGAAAACCCAAGTATAGCCCTTGAACTTAACCTTTAACAGAACATTTAATATTAAACATCCACTGTGGTACATACTTACCGGCACTGCAGGATTTCAATATATTCTCAATGATAGGCAATCTTTTGTCATGCCGGTGATCATTAATTTTTGTTTATTTGTAACACGTCAGCACTCTCAATCTGAGTATCAGTATGAGCTAATATTGACTGTTCTGGTTGATGCAGTTGGGCAATCAGTGTTAAAATCATGTATGTGCCAATACATATATCATGTGTGTGTGGTGTTATGCCGCAGAGGACACGCAGCTGGACAAACCACGTCTTCCCTTCGTGGAAAATGTTTTTATTTTTTTATTCAGAGTTTACACGTTGGCGGCATCAGTTTCCTCCCACACTTGTGATTGAAGTGGATTTACTCTTGAATCGGCAGTAGGCGTGAAGTGAAGTGTGACTGTGATTGTTTATTAATCATTGTCAGACTTGTAATGGACTGGCAGCTTGTCCAGGGTGTTTCCTGCCTTCTGCCCAGTGCATTCTGGGACACGGTCCAGCCTGTTGTCACTTCCAACTGTATTTGGTATCAACACACAAGCAGGCTAATATTATCCACCGGCTTAATTTGAGCTAATTCAGCCCATTTATTTGATTATATTCTATTTATGTGGTTTTATGGATTCAGTTTTGTTGGCAGAGGAGAGGTCATGCGTGGAAGCCTTATCGGTAAACCTTTTTATCGAGCAAAGGTCACGTCACGAATGATCCACCAGGTGAAAGAAAATAAAACAGCAACAAGACTTTCTGTGAAGTACAGGAAAGTACTAGTTTTTATTCCTTCATAATCAAACTTCACAAACAGCTTGAACTTGTACAATACCTCAGAGAGTGAAAATTACAAAAAAAGTGCTGGTAACATTTACAAAAATCATCCTTACTTAGCAACAATCAGTTTATTCTTCCACACTTTTTTTAGTCTTTTGTATTAAGGCTTAATACTTCTGTATAAAGTATATGCAAGATAAGTCTTCACAGTTTTTCGAAAAAAGTCACAATATTATGTAACATAATGAAGCTTTTACGGCTATTTTCTTTATAATAACAAATACACATCACTGGTAAATATATGTGAAATACAGGGCTTATTGTAAAATGGCAAGTAATGATACTGTTTGCTGAGATAAATTGATTCCACACACTGTTATAGGAAAGTTTTGAAATACCATTGCTATAACTGAAGGAGGAGGGAAAATAAAATGATAAGCATAAACACTTGGGAGATCGCCTCCAAACTTTGGCACATCCCATGAAACAATTTCACAAAATATGAGATTTATTTTTGAAATCATACATATGGAAGAATAGCTAAACTGGCATAAAGTGAAAACATGCTGTGTAGTAAGGTGCTAAATCAGAGATATTACATTGCCAGCCTTTCCCCCCCCACATGGACTGACATGGATAAGGTGCATTTGTAAGACTCAAAGCATGTAGGCCTTTCTTAGATGTCGACAAAATATGTAATAAATACAAGTTTTTAAAAACAACCTAAATTCATTTGACCAATAGTCTCGAGGCGACCTCGTTTACTCATGCGCTCCCATGGATTCAGAGAAATGGATTCCTCCCCTGCAGTTGTGTATCTCTCTAACTGTGGCATGTGAAAGTAAAAGCTGTATTGTTTTCGATGGTATGTGTTATTTGCTT